CCTCCCTCTCTCTCTCTCTCTCTCTCCCTCTCGCAGGAAACTAAGATCGATTGTGTTCGCGTGGCCACTAAAGGTGGGTCTGTGTGAGAGTAATGTAGTGCACTGGTTGAAACATGTTCCCTAAAGCTGATTCCAGGTCGTCTGCAGAAACCAGTCACTGCACACTGATCACTCACATATCTATATGCTCTATGAAACACAATGCATTATGAAACATAGTCAGCGCTTCAGACAGTAGAAAGTAAATAAGCTGTACTTCAGGCACATCAAGATGTTAAAATCGTAGCAGATATAGAGCGCAACAGTCTGGAAGTCAAACGAAAAGAAAAGAAAAAACGCAAAGACAGAGCTACTGTGAGCCCGGTGGTTTACAGTAAAAACATTACCCATGATTCAACAAAGAAATCTCCACCAATCAGAGGATCGAAACAAGAAATTACATAAAAGTTCTTATATATTTATTTATATACTACTTATATATTATATATTGTTACTAGAGGTCGACCGATAGTGGATTTTGCCGATACCGATAGCTAGGTTGGACCACACTGGCCGATACCGATTAATTATCCGATAGTTTTAAAATTGATACTGAGCAAAAGCTAAAATAGTGCTTTATTAACAAAAACAGTACTGAACCATACTAGTAGTAGTAGTAGTAGTAATAATAATAATAAAAATGTTGAAATTAACACACTCTAACAAGGAACAATACTTTCATTACACAGCTTTCATTAATCTTAATGTTACAAATGGACTCTTATTTTAAAGTGTTACCATTAAGTTTGCATGTAACAAACAACAGAAAAAATACATGCACAAAAGAGAGTAAACATAATCAAAAAGTGTATGTGTGTGTATATATATATTAGAGGTCGACCGATAGTGGATTTTGCCGATACCGATAGCTAGGTTGGACCACACTGGCCGATACCGATTAATTATCCGATAGTTTTAAAATTGATACTGAGCAAAAGCTAAAATAGTGCTTTATTAACAAAAACAGTACTGAACCATACTAGTAGTAGTAGTAAAAAAAAAATAATAATAATAGTAATAGTAAATGTTGAAATTAACGCACTCTAACAAGGAACAATACTTACACAGCTTTCATTAATCTTAATGCTACAAATGGACTCTTATTTTAAAGTGTTGCCACTTAATTTCAACTGTCATGCTTAAAGATGCACATCTTTAAATATATACACAAAGGCTATAGCATTAAAATTATATACATATGGATATTGTATGTATACTCTCACACTTTAACTGCTTCTATTCTTGAACACTTGATGATTATCTAATCAAAATAAAAGCGCAGCGCTGAGTCTAGGAGAACTCACCGGTATCACACACACTCCGGACGCGTCGCGTTCAACTCGAGCAGCGGTCTAAAACAGTTTATTTAATCACCAAACGGACACAAGTTTACTTCAAGAATGAACAATTTGGCATAGATGAGTTTGAAGTTCGGTGTTTAAAAAACGGAGCAAAAGGAAAGAGAAAGCGAGAATATTATAGCTCTATAAATGAAGCATTAACAACAATTCGGGACAAATATAATGTAATTTAATGGAAAACTATGTGAATG